AGCTTCATTTCCTGCAAAGCTCTGATGTTGATTCCAGCACATGGCCGCAGGGAACAGGATGCAAGGCCTGAATGTGGTGTTCACGTTTCTCAGTCTGAATGGTGAAAGCCCAGGAAACGAAAAGTGGCTGATGTGTCTGTGGCAGAAAATTTGCCCCCTCAGTCAAAACTGCTCTCCCTTGACTCCCCTCCTACTCGAGATAGTAGTTCAGGATGACGAATGCAGCCAAGCCCAGCTCCCCTGCACTGCATTTAGGAGGTAAACGGACATAAGACATGACTCTTGAAGGGTCAGAAAGTTTAATTTGCCTACGATGCCCAGTGCAGGGACTTACACAGAACTTTCTGACACAAAGTGCTTTCTCCATAGTACCGTGAAGCCATGTGACAGGTTTGAGACCTGAGCCCCAGAATGATGGAGTAAATACTCTGATTCCTAATCTGATACACATCCCGTTTTCATAGTCCTTGGAGAGATGACCAAACCCAAGGGCAGCCCTGAGAAAGAACAGCACTTGCACGCTGAAGAGAAAGAAGGGCTGTACAGTGTTCTTGCGCTGCGGCTGCTGGGCAATTCTGTTTGAGCTCCGCGTGGATACACTGAGACCCTTTTATGGTCGTGATGAAAACAGGGAACTTAAGTCCATTTCCTTTAGAGGGCTTGGTTGTGTAACTTTTTTTTTTCTGGGTAAAAGTTACTTAGTTCTAAAGTCGGGTTTGATCCTGGCACCCACCCACAGGCACGGCCACTCTCGACCCCCTGTGGAAAGCTGGGAACCTCATCAGCTGCCTGGTTAATGGTCCTATTTCCTAGGTCTTTTCTGCACTCAGGATCGGAAGGATGGCCCACAGGGAAATAGAAGGAAGTCATCTGAGCCTTGTGACCCCACCCTGCCCTCATTGCCAGGGCTGGGGTTTGGCTTTTTTTTTTTTAAGATTTTATTTATTTGACAGAGACATAGCGAGTCCTTTAGTATTGATGAGTAAAATCCATTTTAAAAGTGTCTTGTGCCCTTGCAGCAGAGAGAAGTACTCTAGGACTAGGTCATGGTCACCACTGCTTATAGATTTGGATTCGACTGAGAAAGGATTGTCTCAGAGTTGGAGGTGAACAGGCATTTTCAAAGTCCATGTTAAAACATCCAAATAAGATACATGATTCTTGATTGGTTCCTAGTTCAAAAAAAGAGCTATAATACTTTATCCAACTCTTGGAACAACTGGAAAAATTGAATATGGACTGAATATTATGGGACTATTGTTCATTGTCTTAGATGCGATAATAGTTTTGTAGTTTTATAGGAGACTGTCCTTACTCATGCTGAAATATGTAAGGGTGAAGAACCATAGCATTTGCCACTTACCTTCAAATGGTTCAGCAAACACAAACAGATAAAGCAGATATGGGAGAACATTATTGTTGAATACAGGCAGAGGATATACAGGTGTTCATTGTACTGTGGCTTTTCTGTGTGTCTGAAATTATTTTTCAAAGAGTTTGAGGAAAAGATAAACTTCTAAAAAACATGTTAAGTGTGTTTTTCCATTCTGGTTTCAATAGAATTCCAGTTTTCTTAGCATATTAGAATGATCAGTGTGGTAAGGGTGGGAAGAAAGTCCCAGTAGTTTATTTCAGACAGAATAAATAGAATGTTTAACAGCAGAGTAACTGGTTGGACAACTGTTCTGTCTAGGCCAAGACCTCTCACTGAGAAAGAAATGCCAGTTTTCTAATTTTTCTTCCTTTTTCGAACCAGCACAACAGATTTGTCCTCGACTGTAAAGACAAAGAGCCTGATGTACTGTTTGTGGGGGATTCCATGGTGCAGTTAATGCAGCAATATGAGGTAAAGGTGGAAGGGGGAAGGGTGGGTCTTGGCTACCAAAGTAAATCCATTCATTGCTAGCAAACTTTCACTCTGAGCTGAACCTGTAGGCTTATTCATGACACTTTAGAGAAGCTCTAGTTCAGAGTGCGAGGGAGGTCAGACCTCCAAAATGGAATTCTTTGTGCCACCATGCATGATGAGACAAAAAATTCAGAATTGTTTCTAACTCAGCTCCCTTTTTTGCCACACAGTGCCACACAGTCTTACTGTGTTTTACATTTTCTTATTTTGTATATAT